AAAAAAAAAAAAAAAAAAAAAAAAAAAAAAAAAAAAATCAAAATGAATGATAACTATCAAATGAAACCAGTAGAACAAGATAAAATAAAATCTAGGCTTTTTTAGATATCACTAACTGCAGAGAAGAAAAGGCTGGGCCCATTGTTTGGGTGCCTTTGGTAACCCTCTTTGCCTTTTACAGAATATAGGTTTGAGTGTAATATAAAGTAACTCCACAAAGGCCCTGTTAGGTAATGTTAACCTTACAAAACAAACATATTTCATATATAAGCTATTGAGGATGGCAGCTTACCAAGTTGGGCATAGCAGTAAAATTGAAGCCTTTGCAGGACATCAGCTGTTGGAGGATGTAAACAACATCAAAGTGTTGAGCGTCCACTGCATCTCTTTCAAACTTCTTGACCTCGTCCCAGTCTTTCAGGGCTAGACGGATCTAAAACCAGATACAACAGCCAAAACCTTAATCAATGAGTGACAGCATCTTTCAAATAAAAAGGTAAGCATTCTCCCTTCCGACCTGCTCTGGGGGTGAGGCAGTCTGGCACTTATACAAGCTGTAAAGCAAGTATAGTCCTCCAACACGGATCTGGAAGCTGAATGGAGGAAAAAAGAAGCTGCTGGCTGAGTCTAAAACCATGCGGCTGAAAAGCCGCTTCTCATATTGCTTTGTACCGCTGTGGAAAGAGAAACACAAAATAAGAACTTGAACTTGCAATGCTGCAAAATTATAAATAGTCCTAATTTACCAAACTCATATATAAATGAGACACACTATGATCAGCCATAACATTATGACTACTTTATCTCATCCTATGAAAAAATGACTGACCAATAAAGGGCATGGTCAAATATCATTTGAAGGTTGGAGTGTCTGGTATCAGAATCTTCATAAAATATTGTGTGCAATAAGATCTGATCAGACGAGGTAACAGAATTAGCTCTTTACTACACTTTTCACCATTTCCAAAATGTGAAAAGCTTCATGCTAACAGATTCGTATTGCCATACTGTATAACTGTGTAGGAGTGAATGCTTTGCATATGTAGTTGTCAAAGTGAAACAGGCTAAGGTTTTTATGTTCTCTTAGCCTTTATCATCAAGTACATCATTTCTCAAGGACTGCATCAAACGTTCTCATCTGTAAAACTGAATGAGAGCAAAATAGAGCACAGTGGGAACAGTTTTAGTAATTTTGATTAGTCTTCATTAATTTAAGTATCCAAACACACCAAAGGAGGAATGAAGGTTTTAGGTTTAGATTAAAGAATATCTCAGCTCCCACGGTGGACTTACTAAAAAATGTGAGAAAACTTCATCTCTCGCCAAATGTCTGAGAAATCATCAAAGCGGACCGACTGAGTTAGCCGGAAACGCTCCAGCAGCTCCTCGGTGTCTGACTTCACTTGTTTCCTGCAGAAGTCCATGTCAATGCCGCATTCAGACACAGATAAACAAGAACGCAATCCCCCCACAATTAAAAATATAAATCACCAATAATCACACTTAATTTTTTGTCACATTTTACAAGAAACAATAACTCGTTTTGGCTTGGGATGTAAACACACGAGACTGTCGCGTTTCATTGCGTCATCAGCAGTCGACGTCTCGATCACAAGAAGCGTTGATGACACTCTCAAGATCGACGTAAAAATGAAAACCGTCACATTAAACTGAACGTTTTAGTAAGAATGTTTCGAGTTTTATTAGGATGTCGAATGTAAATAGAAATTGGCATGAATTTAGTGAATGACAGTTCTATATATGTACCGTTACTAAATAACCATTTACAAAAAATATGGAATTTACATTGTGTATATTCATACAAAGGGAATATATTATAGAATTATATTTAAGGGAAATATAAATAAGATGTCCATAAATGCTTCTTTTTTGGTATTTTTTTTAAATTAAAATAATGTGTTATTACAAAAGCATGAATGCTTGGTTCACTTAACAAATTAAACCTAGGAAGGAAAGCTAGTGCGTCTGGTTGTTTGTTTATGTGAGGTCCTGTGATGGACTGGTGAGTGTCCAGAGTGTACCACGTTTCTTGAAATATGTTTGCTTAGACTGGCTCCAGCCATTGTCTATTGATCAGTTTTATGAAAGAAGTCAATCAAATTTTGATTATTTTAAATCAGGGTATCTGATTGCATCCAACAATAATAATCGAGAAACGGGAACTGTTACAGGTTTTGTGAACGCACCACGCGGATATGCTTGCGTTACGTCCTGCGGAAGTAAACAATGCTCAGATGACGTGGAGTATCGCCAGTTGGACAATCTGAAGTAAACATAAAGTTTATAGGCTAGTGGAAATTGCAGCCCCCATTCACTTTAGATTAGATTCAGTGGACCGTTTCGGCGTCGTCTGAGCTCATCGTGTAATTGCGGAGGACCGCTTAGAATTTAACAGAAAAAGAAAGATGGCGTCACTGGAGGAGGCCAGCAAGCCCTTTGCCGGGCTGTCAGATGTCTCGATATCGGAGGACATTCCAGTGGAAGGGGACATCTCTGTCCCAGTCGGCCCTTCTAGGAGAGACGATGAGTTTTCCACCTTAGACGAACCGGTGAAGGAAACTATCCTGCGCGATCTACGCGCGGTGGGAAAGAAGTTTATACACGTCTTGTATCCGAAGAGGAGCTCGGCTCTGTTGCGGGATTGGGACCTGTGGGGTCCGCTGCTGCTCTGCGTGACTCTGGCTCTTCTGCTCCAGGGTGGTGCGGCCGACAGCGACGACCAGGGTGGCCCACAGTTTGCAGAGGTACTTTACGGACGTGTTTCTCTCTTTAACATGTTTAATCCCCTCACAAGAAAGCAGGAGTAGTTCCATTATATGTCCATGGAATGCCCTGAGGCTTTGGCAGTTAGAGAGATGTCTGACAGACCAATACATGTTATGGTATTTAATTAGAAAATGGATTTAACTAAGGGTCTGCAGATATGTTTACTTCACAATGGAGGTATTAAGAACTCTATAAAAATGTATTTTGAAATATTTTCTTAAAATATGATGCTGAGGACGTTGAAATAAAACTAGTGTTTCTCTGATTTTACATGGAGTTTTTAAATGTATCTGAGTCCTCCAAATAACCAATGTAATGATTTTTCCTTGTTCCAGGTCTTTGTCATCGTCTGGTTCGGCTCCATAATCATCACTCTAAACTCCAAGCTGCTGGGTGGCACTCTGTCCTTCTTCCAGAGTCTGTGTGTGTTGGGATACTGCATTTTGCCTCTGACCGTTGCCATGGCCGTTTGTCGGATTGTCCTACTGAGTGGTACAGGAAAAGTCAGTGCCGCCATACGACTGGTAGTTGTGACATCGTCCTTTGGCTGGTCCACTTTTGCTTCCACAGCCTTTCTTGCAGATAGCCAGCCATCCAACCGCAAGGCGCTAGTGGTGTATCCGGTGTTTCTCTTCTACTTTGTGATTGGTTGGATGATCTTGACATTCACACCTTGACACGAGAGGAAACAAACACAGAAGACTTTTGCAGAGTGAAAAAAATTCTAACAGAATCAGCCTTTGCAGGAAGAAGAGCGACTTCTAAGAGGACCGTCATGTGTTTCTGGGTGTCTTAAACGGCATTAAGACTCAGAACACCAAAGTAATTCCAAACTCCTTTGATGAGTTGTGGTCAAAAAGACTGCTGCAGTTGAAGAAAAAGATCAGTTTGATTCTTCACAGTTTTTTCCACTTGTGTTTATGTTGTGTAAATAGAGGAAAAATAAGAAAGAAAAGAAAAAAGAATGTTTTGGGGCTACAATTTTATTTTCTTTTGACTTCTGTGTGTGCTTATCTTATTTTTCACACTTACTATTTGAAGTAAGTGATGTTACGTCTGTGCATATTAAAAGCTCTGGCTGTAAAATTTTGGTTTTCACAAGTTGTCAGGTGGTAGTGACTCTACTTAACATTAAATTTCCATTTGAAATTGAAATGGTTTCCTGTTTAATTCAGCTACTCATCTTCTACAAATTAAACTTAATAAATTATGTTCTTAAATGTACTGTCAAAATTGCTTCAGTTGAAACCCTTGTCTTTTTTTTCCTTACCACAACTGACTGACTGTCTTAAAAACTACATGTACACCACGTTGTGCAGTTTTGGCCACACTGAACAGGACACGCATAAAGAAAAATGTCTATTGACTTAACTGGCACTCCCTGGTAATAGAGAAACACTACAAAGAAAATAGTCTTTAAATGTAATTTTGGTGATTAATTCATTTTCATACTTTTGAAATGTTTATGTCTCTTAACAAACTAACCAATGTAGAAACTGTTTTTAATACGTCACATTTTACACAGAAAAAAACATTTAACATTTAACATTTAAAGAACATTTTTTTTAATGATCTGAAGGCTTTCGAGGGGAGGCTTTAATTTTTCAGGACTTGCAAGTCTTTAAATGTAATTTTGGTGATGAATTAATTTTCATACCTTTGACATGTTTATGTATCATAACAAACCAACCAATGTAGAAACTTTTTTTAATACGTCAGTTTTCACACAGAAAAGAACGAAGCGGAAAATCTCCACAATACAATATCTTTTATAATCTGAAGGCTTTTGAGGGGAGGCTTTAATTTGTCAGGATTTGCAAAGACCATATATACAAATTAACTGGGTGGATAAAATACCATGCACTTTTGAATAATTTATCTTTTATGTAATTTGTTGAGTTTCATGTTAAACTGACAAGAGCATTATTGTTACTCTCCAGAAATGTGTGGTCTAACCAAATATCGACAATAGTGTCTAACCAGATTGTAGACCTGGTGAAATTCCAGTCATTTGAATAATACATTGTCTTAAAAACGATGAGGTAAAGGATAACTAGTAAGACATTTCCAACATTCAAATAATTTGTCGCATCTACCATAACTATATTTTATTTTTGTCTGTGGAGGGCAGCGTGGCAACCTGTTAGAAATACATGAATTAAGAGGACGAAGAAGAATTTCATGGTGACGTCATCAAAACAAGACTGCCGCAAACTCAGCTGTGCTCCGATGTAAACAGTGTGCGGCCGACTTCCGTGACTCGTATCAGTAACGGCCATTAATAAACGTGGTCTGGACTGTGAAATATTTGACACACAGTCGAATTTGCCACTTTTACTTTTCTACGGCTCTGGCTCGGACGAAGTTTCGAATCTTAGCAACAGCCCCTTAAATGATGGAGGGGCCGCCGCAGCTTCCGCCTGAACTTTGGGTGTATGTGTTCAGCTACCTTAGCACGGAGGAAAAACACACCGTTCGCACCTGCTGCAGACACCTTAAGAAGCTCGTGGACCACCCCTCTCTTTGGAGGGACGACACGGTGGTGCTGTCTGAACTCCGCCGCTACACCTACGGCTACTGGGACACCTTGAGCCGCCGTAAACTGACTCGGGTGGCGGTGCGACACCTGAGACGTAAAGAATGGCGGCGCCTCATTAAGTTCCTTCCGTCACTCACGGCTATTGTATTTGTCGACGGGGGTCGCCAGTACAAAGAAAAGTATTTGGACAACCTGTCTCGGTTCCCTGAGCTGCGAGACCTCGGAGTACGTAACGCTACCTGGGACGAATCCATGCTGGGGCTTACTCTTATTGAGTATCTTCGGGAACGACTGACCCACCTGAGCGTTTGCAACGTCCGGCTGCCCAGTACGTTAGAGTTCATCAACACGGTGTCCCGTCTGGTCAATCTGCGGTACCTGCTCTTCCATCAGCAGGGTGAAGGCTACGGGCTGGACACCGTGAGACCGGTTCCCTGTAACATCTTTCACAACATGCTGCTGAATCTTAAAAAACTCAAACACCTATCGTGGGGGATGAAGGGAGAACCCCCGGAACCGCTTCCCGAGGACTATCTCACCCCCTCGGACCCGGACCGGCCAGGTCAGTCCGGTCCTGACCACCTATCCGTTCACCAAGAGACACAGGGCATTGACTATTTTATTATTTGAATGATTCAAAATAGATTTACTGTAAAACACAAGCCCTACATTAAACATTTTACAATTGAAAAATCTAATCTAGAATCATTTCAGGTATTTTTATTAGTATTTGTATTGATAATGTCTGAATTTATCTGTCGCTTTTAAAGTTAGATCAGCACATCTGTGGGTGTATGTGTCTGTAAACTATGACTAAAACAGGTGGTAAAAGCACCTGTTTTTAGAAACGGTTTATAGATCATCGTTGGTTGTAAATTTTGGCAGGATATTCAGGACAGACACTTCCCTGCAACACAGTGTCCTTTTTCTTTGACTCCTTAGGTGCTTCTTCATACGGTGGCCCGTCTTTGATGAGTCTGGAGCTTGTGGATTACCCAGAAACAACTCTTCCTGAAAACGCACTGAGGAGTCTGACAACACTCAGGTCACTAACGGTCCGCTACAGGTATATCAGAGAAGGCATCGAGTGTCGCCTCAGATCCTGGCTGAATCCCTTGAGACAGCTGGAATCACTCACGATAATAGGTAAGTTTTTATTGTTTTTTATGTCGGTGATCTAAAACAGGAACATGACTACCAAGAAGATCACAAATTATTTGAATAATGAGATGATTAGGATAAAGCCTTGCAATATCCCACCTAAAATATACACAATTAAGTATGAAAGATAATTTTATATGCCAAGATAAGTCATCAGGTTGGTATTCCCATCTCATGGATCTGATGATTTCGAATCAGTTGCAGAACTGTTGGTAGAATCTGCGCCTATTGTAATCCTTCCGATAAACCAATTTCCCAGAGGGGCAGTTACAGAACTAAGCACTAAGGATCATGTTTTCCCTTTGCTGGAACTTTATTTTATGATTTGATTCCTAACTGATTTGATTTAGTAAATGCATTCAGTTTTTCTAATGTGGAAAACATGGATGACTATAAAGCTGTGCTTCTTTCATTTTTACAGGAGGAAACTCTCTTGCTACATATACGACCACTATTCCCTCCAGTGTGACGAGGCTGACGCTAAGAGTGGCCATAACCCTGAAAGACATGGACTCAATTGCGCCAAAAGTTCCAGGACTAGAGCACTTGGACATAGAACAAAACCGCTCCAGTGGGAGCCTTTGTAGACGAATCCCCATGCTATTTCCTCAACTCAAAACTCTTAGGATACGGTGAGTCTTTTTTATTTGTTTGAACCTTTTGATGTTTTCTAAAAAGCCACACAGAACCACCCCCTGACCTTATACTTGTACCTAAAATAAACTGTTTAACATTTTTTTTTTTTTTAGTGTTTCCTTCATGTGACATAGATCAGATGGTCCAGGACAGAAATATAAGAATTTTTGACAGGAAAAATAAAATAAGGACGTTTTTTTTAAACAGGCTTGGTTGGAACTTAACATCACAAGTTAATCAATCATTGAATTATGTTGATTCTATGTGTTTCTTATGCATAGAATCTCTATTCATTTGAACCAAATGCCCCACTTAAAATTTGGTTTGGACGTTATATAAATTAAATAAAAACAAAATAAAATGATTGCAAATCCATCCATCCATTATCATACCGCTTATTCCCTAGTGGGGTTGCAAATCCTTTTTATTGAAAAAAAATACTTAAGGACACTGTCTAAAATTCATAACCATAGGAGATTTATTTAGATTCAGCAAGGGAACAGCCCACAACTAATGGTCTCTTACATAGATCATCATAAGTGGTTACAAAAAGAAATAAAAATGTTCAGAAAAGCAAAAAGGGTAAGGAAGGAAGGTATGATCACAATATATTCTTTGGAATATTTTGTAGGTTCATGTCATGATTATGTATGGATGGAGCATGTACTGCAGAGGCAAATAGCCCAAAAGCTTAAGAATAACTACAAGTTGCAAGCCTCTTAACGTTGTGGATCTATCTTTTCAGTAAATAAGATGTCTCCATTTTCATGCTTATGTACGCAAAAACATTTAATGTCTCATCTTATCCAGATTTTTCCGCAGGGAACCGGAGAAAGACCTACTGAGCCTTCACAAGCTTCGACATCTGGTGCAGCTGGAGCTGCTGGTGGAGCGATCGTTCATCCTAAGAGATTACCTCAATGGTCATCCCTGGCCCAGCCCCTGCGTTCAGGAGCTCATCAATGAGCTCCGGGAGCTGTCCGAGAACAGAATCACAGTCATAACCACAATGCGACAGAGAAACCCTCTACGAGAATGTGACTGTATGTGGGAGGGAGACTGAGCTCCTAAAAGACCCAAACCAGTTTTGTATTCCTTAAAGCACACCATTCTTCAAGTTGTGAGTAAAAAAAGGAATGAAAATCTCTCAAGAACTTCTAAAAATCTCTCAACTTCAAAACAATAATCCTTATCCTAATGATTCAGCCTAGTGATGGTTATTTTTTTTCCGAAAAAGTTTAGAGCAGCGGTTGGGAGAAAACAAAGTTTATTTAACTGGTTTTCAAATGGCTAAAATACTGAAAATCATCACAAAAAGAAAAAGGTTATCCCCATTCCACCAGTTTTTTTTAAGCTGTTGAGTGTAAGATCAAAAAGTTAAATAGGGAATGGGAGCTATTATTATGGATTTGATTTGTTCAAATTTTCAGAGGTTGCACTGAAACAACTTTCTCTTATCCCAAATCGGCAGTCGGAACAAAAGATTGCTTAAATGTTTCTTTAGAAATGCAAAATACAAGTTTAAATTAACTTCAAAGACTAAAAAACTCATTGCAATCACAATGACTAAAATAAGAAAACCATGGAAGGCAGTCATATTGGCTTAAAAAACAAGTTTATTGCCCCAAAGCCAACTCCATTACAGAAATGCATTGAATAGACACCGTACATATCGAGAATACTGCAGAAAAAGCCTGCTCAGCTTAAACAAATCAACGGTGCTGAACATTATTCATGAAATCTGTCTGTATATTTATTACCTTGCTGTGAGCATACCTATTGAAAGTGGATAGTGTCTTGGGAACAGACTGAAAAGAAAAATCTAGTTTAGTATTAGTGTGTGGCCACACATCAATCTCAGACTCCACCTTTCTGCTCAGGCAGAGACTGTAGGAAATCTGAAATTAATGATTTTTCCTACAAAGCATTATGGCTTTGGCCTTACCTTTTGAACTTGCATAGCAAAAGCACTGATTTCACGTAATGTATTGAATACATTTTGAAAAGATGCTTCTATAACGAGTAACAATGCCAGCTTCAGCTGTTCTTTCAAATAGATTGTATGCTTTATCAATACAGTCCAGCTGAATGCATACATGCAAAATGGATATCAAAGCATATTTAAACTACGGTACTTGAGGATTAGCTTAAACTTAAGATAATTTTTTATTATTTACGTTATAAGTGCCACCATCAAAAGTTTTCAATATTGTAAAGAATTGCTGCATTTAGTCTTTAATGTTACATTTAAATTTTGTATTCAAATTACACCCACTGTCCAATTTATTTCTCCCTACAAGAACATTCTCTGGCTGAAAAGCTTTTTCTTTCATTTGAATACGAGTTCATGAAAAAGTGATAGGTCAATGAATGCAATGCAACTTCTTAGTTTTATTTTATTATTTTATTTTTTACAAAGGCAAAATCTAAAATGTACCCCCCCCCGGAAAAATACAGTATTATATGAACGAAAAATAAAGTACTTCAAATTTACATCTCATGTTCTTTTTCTTTTAAGCACTCAGTTCCCATTCACCGTGACAATATTGAGATGCTACATCTTTAGAAAATCTTGAGGAAGGAACCAGGAATTGCAGTTACAAATAAAAGGGTAAGTTGTATAAAATTAAACAGATCTTACTAAATCAAAGTGCAAGGACCTTTACATATATTTAGAAATCCTGAAACTACACAATGCACTAAAAATACCATCTGAATTCAGCTCCTACACATTCTTATTGGTTGTCATCAGAGAAAAGCAGCAACAGTGACCTGACAGGCAAAGGTCTCCCAATTTACCATAGCTGTCATTATCGTCACTGGCAGTTTCCTAGAGTTCAACGACCCAAAAAACATTTGTGAAAATGTTAACAAAACGTCTCCAACCTTAGCTTTTACTCATTATGAGCACTACTTTATCTGTAAAATCTTCACAGTATCCCAGAAAGTGAGTTCTCCCCATTCAAACCATACCTAGCACTTAAACTGTAATCCAATAATCCCAACAATGCCATGTAACAGTAACATCCAGATCAGTTGAGAGTCCAACTGCAGCAGCTAAAAGTGTCTTGTTAAATTTGGTCAACGCTTGAATATGGGTAAATCCGATGTTTGACTGAAGAATTTTAAGGCAAGGTGTGCTCAGAACTCCAGCAACAGTGACAGCGGCTCCGGAGAACTCAGGACGATCTCCTGTTTCTGTCCGTAGACTCCTTGCTCCACCTTAGTACCTGCCTTTGTGCACTTGGCTGAACCCGCCATGAGCTCCCTGCAGGCTGACACCAGGTTTGAGAAAAGCTGCGCCCCCCACCACAGCTCACAACCGCCTTTGTACTGGATTCTTTTGTTGGGCAGTGGCTCTCCGAGCAAGCTGTCCTGGGGGACAAATAAAACACTCCCTGGAAGGTCGAGGAGAGACACGGAGTGCCCAGAGTCTTTTCGAAAAAGCTTGATGGACATCAGACTGTTGGCTGACAAAGGGATGGTAGAAAAAGACAGAAGCTTGAATGTGAACTGATCTTTAATTGAGTTTTGGTCTAAATATAACATTTGTTAAAAACAAGACTATTCAGACTTCAAACTGAAAACCTTATATATGTTATATAAACAATATACTAGCAACTTGCTCAATCATGATTCATAAAGCTAGACATTGTCATTTTATGATGTCGTTATTCTGTTGACTTTTGATATTACATGTTACTTTTTTTAAGTCTTTACAGTATTGTATGTATATTGATTTGAAGTTAAACAACTAAAAATCTTCAAATCTAAAAAATGTCTTCAAGCCAAATAAGAAAAGATTTTGCCTTACAATAATTGGACAAAGCAGACTTTCTTATAACTGTCTTGGGAATTGTCATTAAAGCCGTGATTGTAAAAGAAAGTCCTGCTTGCAGAGCAACTCACCCATCTCATATGTAACCTTTTCTGTGGCTCCGTGGAAAAAGCACACGTACACAACCATTCCAGCCTGGATCTGATAAGGAAACACAGTGAAGATAAATAATTACTAATATATTTCACTGGATAAAACATGAAAAGAGACTCAAACTTAGATGTTATTACAACAGTTCTGCAAAGACAAGCCAATGTTCGAAAAAAAAAAGCTTTTAAACTGAATGATAAAGAACTGGTATTGACGCAAGCAGTTTCCTAATTTCTTAATTTTTTTCACTGACTTTCCGTAAAAATGTGATGATACAACACAAGTTTTCGTTAAGATCTTTGGAGGAATCTCCCATCTCAAAGGAATCAAATAAAATACATGCACGCTCACCTCAGTCCACTGAGCTTCAGCCCCATTAAGCGCAGGTCTGACCTTAACTTTTGCCTGGCTGCACTGCTGGATAATAGTCCGGGCCTGGGGTCTTTTGGACTTCTTAGACTCTGGAAGAATGCTTAAAATCGGGAGGCAAAAGATCCCAAGTCAACTAATGCCATTAGGATAAACAAGTGTGCAAAAATACATGTATAAGAAGTACTTTTTGTTCAATACCTGACCACTTCAGGAAGAGGTTGTGCAGCCTGTGTCACGACAGCATTGGAAATTGTGAAAACGGGCCAGGGTTTTGTGCTTGGAGCCACTATGGGCTCCAGACCACAGCTGGAGCTTTCTTTATTCGTAGGATTTTTCTCCAGTTCTCTCCCCCTCTTCAAACTCTGGTTGCCACTACGCTTGCTTTGGAGTTCTATCACATTTTTGGTGCTTGGTCCACTGTCTTCACATGGAAATTGACTTTGCTCAAGTAGAGGAGATCTGATTTCACCCCGGGTTTGGATGTATTGATGCGTATCACTGCCGTGAGAGCTTCTCGGTTCTATCTGGGCCTTGAGCTGTGTTGACTCTTTCCGCTGAATCAGAATACTGGGTTGCCTTTCTGATATTTCAGACCGTGCGAGAATTGTTCCAGTTAAAGGACTGTTTGGAGTTCTCAGGTGGAGGAGGATGGGGATTCTAGCCTGAGGTTTGGTGGGAGTTGATGAAGGTGTTTCCTGGTACTGAGACAAGAGACATACAGAAAATGAGCTCAAATCTAGTGGTCAGTCCTACATGTTTGTTTTTAAATAGGTTACATCACACAAACCAGCTTCGTTATGCACAGGTTCAATTTTACAAAACATGTACTCCTGATAACATAAAGCATTTGTGTTTTACTTTGGACATTTTAGTCACAGATTTAATCAAATGAAAACATTTTTTTTTGTGCAATGACTCTTTCTCTATAATTTTTTGGGGTGACGGCCACTATTCCTAAGCTTGACTGTTTGACTGAAGGATAGCAGAGCATTTTTCATTGCAATACCAAAATCTTTCAATTTTTTTTAAATGTCTTAAAAGGGTTACAATTGCTTTCAGCAAGGCAAAGTAAATTTAAGGAGACACTGTTTGCCAATTGGGTTCAATGAGCTATTTTCATGAGGACTTTAATCAACTATCATCAACTTTATTTAACAGCAGGTTTGCAATTCTGGTTTCACAAAAAGGAAATACTGGAATCTAGCTCATGCACAGTATGCTGTAGTCATATTCCACAATCCCTGAATACGCTAATATTTAAATCTGCAGCAGCTAACAGCACTTCTGTGGTTACATAGTTACTTACAGATGCAATAGAGGCAACTTAGTGGTTTAAGATTTTGTCTGTGTCCTTTGAACAAATTCAAGGTAAATCTTTAAATTGAAACATTTTAGCCCTGTATTTTTTCCCCATCAGTAAAACATCTGATTCAGCAAATGAAAAATATTGTATTCGTCCAGCATTTACCCGTTACTTGTGATTACAGTTGTTAAATTAAAAGCTCCAAAACTCCTGATTTAGCTAATGATTCACATGACCTAATGCTCTCAATTAGCATTATTAGAATAGCAGAATTGATATAGCGATATGTAAAAAAAAAACCTACCCATGTGTCAACTGATTCAACTATCTGTTGCTCCTCTGTGTTATCATGGCTTGCCCCACCCCCCTCATCATCCTCATCATCATCACCAACATCATCATCATCTTCATCACAAGCATTGAAACTGGTATTGTTCTTCTCACTGCAAATACGGAGCCAGATAAAGAGAGATTAAAAGGGGAAATATATCGAGAGCATAAAAACAACTACAAAAAACAGTTCACTGGCAGTTTGCAATCATTCATGCAAGTATTATAGCTTCTATTTTCTGAACCAGATCTGCCAATACTATTCAGGAAGAGGGAATAAGCAAATACAGCTATTCTGTATAGGCCTGAACCTGTCAGCCAAATCAGCACAGAGTAGCTTGTAAACTTTTTGCGGAGGTGAAGAAATCATAAGCCAATTATTTGTGATTGATGACATCAATATGTGTGCCAGGAACAAATAGGACGTCTACTTCCCGACCCCTTTCACCAAGATATACAGCATAGGCATTAGAATGTAACTCTAAATTGTTAAAAACGCCTGAATGGTTTCACAGAGACACAGGATGATCACAACTAAAAGACAGACTGTTAGGTATGACAACAAACTACAAAATATAAAGAAGGAGTCTGACCAAAAACTTGCCAGACACTTAAGTAAAGAAATAGAAAAAATGGAGCGAGTATTAATCAGAGCATTCAGTATTGAGACTCTGAAACTGGTAAAATCTCTTCCGAAGATTCCAGGAGAAAATGTGCGAGAAGTAGAAAAAAATCTGCATCTTTTACAATCACTGCTGTAACAGAAACACCTGTCTGAGTGATGCTGTGGAGATCTCAATGCCTGCAGGACCTCTGATATTTCTTCTTCTCTTCTATCTGTTTTCTTCCTCCTCTTTACGGTGCACAGGGAGCAGTTGTTAATCCACTGCACCACATCAGGTCTCATAGTTCTCCAGAAGTATCTGTGAAAGAATCAAGGTAACGACTGCGTTAAATTGGTTAAAACACAGTGTTAAAAAATATATTTTTTTAAATGGCATTTAGAAAAACCTCTCATTGAGCAGTCTGAGACACTTGTTGACGTCAAGATGGTTCAGTTCATTGTGAAAGTCCACCAGGGCAGCTTCCACCTCCTGCCTGTTCCTTAAGACCAATCGCGCCCGGTCTCCCTTTACCATGTGCAGAATTCCATCTGTGAAAGCAGCAGGAAATAAACGAGGAGAAGGTACACAACTATGGTGGACTAACAAAACGGTCACACAAGTTCAGTATGAACTATTCTTTCTGTATTCTTGGTTGTATATTATCAGCCAATGTCATACATATTAAATACATATCAATATTTATTTTATGCAAACCTTTGATGGCAAATTTTTTGCAGAACCTCCTGAAAGTGTTCTTCTCCACGTAACTCAGTCCAGGAGGATAGGTGCGCTTGCTGAGGTACAGTTCCACGGCATCGTACTTTGCGAAAAACGCCCGCTTACCCTGTTACAGATCATTTTCTTTAAAGATTTACCAATTCTGAGGCCCATTTAATCTTAACTTGTGAAGAGTTCAAGCTTATTTAAAAATACCTCTTCCCCAACTGGAGGCTGGGTTGGACTTCTGGACAGAATCTTTGGAAGAAACAAAGCTGTTATTGACACTAACACTAACACTTGAGACTCAGCCTTCCCTTCTTTTGAAAATACTAACAGCTCTATTTCAATAAGAAAAACTCTCAGACATGAAAACCTGGATTGCCTTGTATTTCATGAATTTTAAAGTGAAACTGATATAATTACTTTGGAATCAGTGGTACCTCTAATGAAGAATCTGTATGATCTTTATCATGCGAATATTGTTAAGGAACACTAAAGAATGGGCAGTTGTTTTTAATGTGCTTTACGAATTAAAGAGACTCTAAAATGAGAATCTCACCGCTGACTCACTGTGGACCATTAATGTGGGCAGAGCATCTTCATGGAGGACAACATTCTCCCCACTGCGATCAAAGCAGTCCTCGGTGAAATGGGCAGAACATATGGATGACCAGAGTCGAGGATGCCAGTTAACACGGCCCACGGCTCTCATCCACTGAGACAGCAGAGCGGAGTTGTGAAGAGGAAACCTGGAAGAGAAATTGCTCTTAAAAAGGGTTGCTGTCCAAATCATTTTGTATATATACTGCCGATAAAAAAGTGTATAGCAGTCATACTGTGAATCTACACCATGTGTAGTGATCTCCATGTATTAATGGGTTAAGAAACTTTTTCAAATTTAATGACAAAACTGTTCAATCATAGTTTCATGTTTCATGGTTAAAATGGAAACGGTCCATATATAAAACAGATGTAAATCTTAGTCACTACCAAAGAAAATTTCTCGTCCTAGACTTGGATTAGCAAATCATGTCGTGCATTTACTAATTACTGATAAAAAAAATATAGTCACACCTATGTTTAACCGTATAAAACCTAAGGACTTTAGTTTTTGATTAAGATTTATACTTATGGAACGTGAGGCCCAGGCCTCTCTCCACTGGCCCACTGCAGTTAGAACACTTGTAGACACTGCAGCGAAGCCACTTCCTCTTCGTTCTGTTGAGGCAGGTGTGACAGCTGGAGATCCAGCCGGCCAGGTCATGAGCCATGCTGCCCCAGTAAAAGTGCTTTGCGATTTGTCGCTGGCAGATGCCCTGGCCATAGTGGCCTTGGTTGTCATGGAACTGCTGTAGGATGGAGTTAACCTGGAATCAACAAAGCAATCAACAAAAAGCAATGAATTCAGGATGCAACAACTTTCTAATGGGCTTTTATTCAATTCAATTCAATTTTATTTATACAGCGCCACATCACAACAAAAGTTGTCTCACAGCGCTTTCCAAACAGGGCAGGTCAGACCCTACTCTGAAGTTAATTACAGAAAGCCAACAACTCCCACCATGAGAAAGCACTAGGCGACACAGGCAAGGAAAAACTTCCTTTTAACAGGCAGAAAACTTCGAGCAGAACCATGGCTCAGGGTTGGCGGCCATCTACCTCGGCTTTTATAGTGCTCTTTTTTATTTAATGAATATAATGAAGTTGAGGGAGGCTACCTCCTCTTTACTGCGTGGAACTCTGAGAGGAGGCGTGACTCGCGTGTACATCAGTACTCCTTCTGAAACACAAAAGAATGCTATGCCTTTTATCACGCATTATAATTTTCTTCTTTTAGTGATGAAAGTGTTCATTTAAGTTGAGTGGTGGTTAAGTATACCACTTGTTCCGCTTACCTATTAAGGCAAATCGCTTGGCCATTCTTTTTAAGGCATTTCTTTTTCTCTTGCCTTGCATGGGTAACACCCTGGTGCTTAGGTATCTGCAAAATACAAAAAAAACATTGAAAGAAGCATGTATCAAAGTGTGTATCAACTTGACAAAGTTGTAATACTTTGACAAGTTGGAAATTAAACAAGCGGCATGGAAAAGGATGCGGTTGATTCCGACTCAACAACATGGAGCAGGTACAACCAAAACGGAAAAGGTAAAAAAACATTTAAAAGAAAGCTGAATCCTATGCAAACACAGAATAGGAAAATTACAACAAATGAAAGAAGAGAAAAAGTCTTACAAAACTGCGACTATTGGAGTAAACTAAAGGCAAATGTTGGAGCAAATTATTACACTGGGATAATAAGCAGATGTGGTTCTCTGTTGAAATTGATTTTGTTTTGAACGGGAATTAAATACAGTTTAAAAAAACAGCTTATGCCGATTTATTTTGCATGTAGTTGAACATAGAGCAAAGACTTTTTCTATAATCCTCAAAAGCCAGATGTCAGAGTGTTTTGCGGATTTTCTAAACCAGTGCAAAGAGTCAAAGCAAATTTCAAATGAAAGATGCTTTGAATTTAATGTTATAGGTTAGTCATACCTGGCAATATGGCTGTATGTAATGAAGCTCTTCTCAACAAGAGTCTCCCTTTGGTCCTTTCTCATAAACTTGGATGCTCTGAGGTCTGGATCAGGACCAGGGCGACAATATTGGTGTTCCTGCAGCCCCACAGTTGTTTCAGAATGATAAAAGGGCTCTGTGCTTCTTGTTGCTGCATTTGCTGCAGCTGTGGAAAGGACATCTTCCAGTGACTCAGGATGAAGGAAGTCCTCATCTGAAAGGACATGCACCTAAAAAAAATCAAATTAGCAGATTTAATCACACAAAATAAGTCCAGATCATATCAGAGGTCTGACTTCTATACTTTCTCTGCCATGAAAATGCACAATACTCATTCAGTTACAAGATTTTATGCATAAGGAAAAAAAAAAACAAGAAACATGTTCACCGCATAATTCAAAGTCTTGGAACCATTAGAAGAAAAACATGTTGTCTGATGAGATGAAGTCAGGTAGAGAAAGATGCCCCAGTCTAAGTGTACTTGGAGCCCTGTCCTATAAAATAAAAACCATATAGATTGAGACGGTCGAATACATAGTGGTGGATAATATGGGATAAGATTTCTGATAGAAACAAAAAAAAAAAAACATCTTTAGCTACATCCATTGCCGGGTACAGATCCTGCTGTATTTCTCTAGGCATATTCCTTAGAAAGCTTAATTACTAATTAAGAGAAATATGCAGTTTAGTTGATAAAATACTATGCCATGTGATTGAATGACTGGGCAGAGAGAGATGGTGTAAAATGCCAAGAGAAGGATCCCAGTAAGAAGGAAAGGTTCAATTATTATCTGTTCCTTCTGAAATGTCAGTGAGGAAACTTGGGTTGAGTTAAATACTTGTTTTTTATTGCAGACATCACTTGTTTATGTCCACAAAAATAATTTGTCATACTCTCACAAGTTGCTAAATCAATATAAATGTTTTCAATAAATGTTGTATTTATGCAGTGCCAAATGACCACGAATACTATCTTATATATATCTGGAATCTAAATAGAATCCATTCAAAGCGTATTAGAATATAAATGAATGGTAATAGAACATGTGTCCATTCAATATTGTATCATTCTCAATATATCAACAGGTAATAGTTGATGATAGGTAATAAGTGATACAGTCGCTGTCAGCCTTAATTTAAAAGGAAATAAAGTCCAATAGGATCTGCAGCTGTAAATATAAAACATCTGGATGACAAGATTTTAGAGAAAGCTTGCCATCACCTGGATCTTTGTGTTGTATTGTAGCCTCTGTACCCAGACATAGATGACAACAATAACTGGAAAGAAATCAGTATAATTTTGGAAACATCTGTGCATGGAGTAAAATATTGAAGAAATAGAGCAGGGACTATAATAATGGTCTGTTTAATAAGGTTTGAGGCATCTTGTATGCCCCCAGTAAAATGTAAAGTACACAATAAGAATTCAAACAATTAAACTCACGACAGAGTAAGATTCTGTGTGGTTAAATACCAAGTATATCCCTGGCGCATGTGTCTGTGGTACCTCATTCTCCTGTACTGTCTCCCATATCAGGGTCGGAACAGCATCTGATAATAGTATTTGCTGGCCGTCTTCCGTCAGAGTGAAGCAAGATGTGTCAAAGTGTCGGGAGCAGATGAAGGAGTTTGTGCGCAGCGAGCCTTCGTCCCTCTGGGCCACTGCCAACCACCTCTGCCGCTGCTCGGCATTTTTTGGAAACCTGAAAAACGGAGGAAGATCAGTTAATTACGAGCCAAGTTGATCTCTAAGACAAAGCTGGAAAACAGTCTATAAGCAGCTTTCTGAAGGCTTCCTTCTTTTTTCTCCCTCTAACACTAATTGATTCCATACTGTTTATTTTTGTTTTCACTGTTTGGAAAAATATCAAATTATTGCTAGCCATTTTCTTGACATAACATTTTATAACAAATGGCAGCGGTATGACATCACCTATTGTCATTCTGCTTTGTTATCATTCCATTCTGTGATAAACACAAATAGCCTTACCCTCTAAATCCAATATAGCAACAATTCTGCAAAGTATATGTACTGGCAATCATACTTGGATCACGACATAATCTTTTATAACAAAACCTTTTGTTCTATAAGATATTATTTCATTATGGAAATCATATCTCACCTGTGAAAGGTGAGATCAGGGTTTGCAAAACTGGAGGCATCGCAGCCATAAACCAAACAGCACTGAACACGGGCTTCTTGGTGTGGAGCGAGAAGTCGACTTTGACAAACGGAACACGCTTTGATCCAGTTCTTCACAGCTTCCGTCACTCCAACCCAGTAGTACATCAGCTGGACAGACAGAAAAGAAGAAAAAGATCTGCTTCTAAAACTATCCTGTCACAGCAACACTTTTATCAGGTCATTCAAGTGTTGCATTTTACACTAACCATTATCTCTTTTACTGCACGCATTCGGCCAGCATGGTTATTGTTGTCATGGTAGCGTGTCAGGATCTCCTTAACTTCATCATCACTCCTGACAACACGGAGTAGGCGACCTCGGTACGTTCGCCACAGACAGCCATCTAGATTGAACCAGTTGACAATTTTTGTTAAATAGCTTTGGTTTTATTTGTGTGATCTGTATTTTCCTCACATGCACCTTACATGTAATGTCTTTTAGCTTCACGGCCAAAAAGCAAACAAACAAGAAAAAAAAAAAAACTTTGTTATATCTATCTGATGTCTGGCCATTTTTTGACCAATTTCTCAATCTTAAATGGAAAATATCTTTGTTTTCGAATTGCTATAAATCTGCATGACTGCTAAATGTTGGAAAATGGTTTGAGCATTTACAAAACTTCACAATTTGTAATAACGCAACCTTATGATGACAGCACAATTCACAATACAAAACAAGCCCAATTCTACTTCTAAGTTCCTCTTCCATTTTCTTTCATTTCAGTTCAGATAATCTTTTTTTGGGTGCAGTGAGAGTTTTGTCTCAAAGCCTTGAAAAGGTTTTCTTCTGTATTACTGTGGATAAGGTACCTTTGTAGATGAAGTGTTTGCGCGCAGTTCTAACCACTTTCTTAATGTTTTTAGATGATTTTAAAGGAAATTTTCCAGTCCGTATATAAATCTCCAAGGTATCCAGAAAACCGTAGGATGGCATCTGTAAATGTAGAGATGAAAAAGAAAGACAGAGAAAAGAAGAGGGAGATAGTAATTTAATATTCTTATCTACCCATGTATGGAATTAAATGGGTTCTGTTGTAACCTAATGCTAGTTAGTTCAAACAAAAAAGAAGAAGAAACACCAGCAAATATAAAAATCCTCAAACATATAAACATTTCATGCACAAAAACACTTTTCAAAATATTGATGCCGTTACATATCTTTAAATATTAAGCATACTATTTAAATTCCGCAGGATTTAAATTGTAAATACCAAATCTAAATTTAAACATTTTTTGTTCTGTTCTAAAATACCAAACAACGTTTTTAAAAAATCATTCATCCGCCTACTCAAACATAAGTGACCGCTCATGTTTTAATTTTGGAATAAAACAGAGGACAATATTTCTTAAATATGTTCAACCTATCCTTTTGAAAATGAGAGGTTGCAAACAGTAGAATACAAGGTGAGAGTAAAATCGATTCTATTTTAATTTTGAAATAACCATTACTCTTTTTTTATTTTTTTTCTGTAAGTCGTTCCTACCTTGGAGCATAGAACGTTCAGTCAACAACAATCCTCGTTACACCGTGATAAACTCTCAACAAAATCCCGAGAGTCAGAGCACCGATATTCAAATACATTAGTCATATAAAAAACGCTTTCGTTTCACTTTATCTCAGCCTTCGCAAACATTCTTCAGAGCAAAATATTTAAGGCCAAATAAGTGTTGAAATGTAGCGTTGAGTTCCGTACAGACTTTAGCGGGCAGCAGTCTTGTAGTAACTTCCGGTAAGGGAAGTTTCAAAATACAAGTGATGACTGAGCTTTTTTTCACGGAGCCACGGAGAAAAAATATCACAAAAGCTATACTATCTACAAGGAATATTATGAGATAATCAAGGTCAATGTTAGCTCAAATATAGCAATTTAAGTTATACTATATGTATGTAAGTGTATATACTTTCTCAAATTGTAAGCACAGTAATTATTTAATAATTAAATTAGGGTGACCATATTATGATTTCCAAAAAGGAGGTAAATTAAAGTTGAAAGCCTTTATTAACGCATTCTGGTGTACAGTATGGTTACAGAACTTTAAGAATTCAATCAAGATTCAATTCTGACAATAAAAATGTAATCTTACCCTTAATATAATATGTTTTTTTTTTTTTAATCAAGTGAAAATTACATACAAACTCGATTGTGTTATGGGCTGGCTTCTACTTTTACTTCTGTTTAAAATTGCTTGAACGGAATTTCGTTTCTTACTAGGTGACGCTTGCTTGACGGAGTTAAATGTTGTAAATACTGCCGTAACCTAGTCTTACTCAGTACTGCTCACTTCCGTTTAACAAAATGTACGTGCTCGCCCCTTGCTGGCCTGGAAGAGAAAGTTTTGTTCTCGCGCGTTCTGAACAACGTTCATACAGATCACAAATAAATTGAAGACCTTCTTCAATCTTCTGTATCTTCAGCAATATGTGATCAGGTGCTCTCGAGACCTCTAGATAAACATTATATCACATATTTTTATCCAAATGGGCCATACATTGATGCAGTTATATAGGATTACTTAGGCACGAAATTAAGCATACTATTGGTTGGTCTGAAAGATAATTATAGGTATGGGTTTGCTTTCCCCACACTGACACGAAATAAACCCACATGTAGGCATGGTGGACCTGTTTTTACCATATTTGTAGGGTAACCTTGTATCAACGTTAAGCCTAAATATATTTTTTTAGTGTATGCAATTACTTTAATTTAATTTGCATTTAATTTGTAAAATGTGTAATAACATTGACAATGAAAAAAAAAGGTCATTTTCAAGCTACAAGTACAGCACTTACTTTTATCTCATCAGTAAAGTGTGAAGCATAAAAGGCAGCAGTTGAGTGAAAGTCTCTCCTGTTCAAAACATTCAACACAAATTCTTGGTTTATAGTAAATATTTAATTGTTCTTATAATAAATTTACAAAGTAATTCAAAATAAAATTCATGATATTTCTTTTATTGGAATGAAAAGTGAAACATGATATATGAAGCTAGGAGCAGGGACCTAGCTTGCTATACGGTTTTAAGGGGCATGAAAGGCTGGTGTATATGTCCTGGGTACACAGACATTTTAAAAAATCACATACATTCATACCAAAAGGCAGTTGAATAAGTATGTTTTGGACTTTGGAAAAAGCCAGAGTATTTGGGAGAACCCATGTGCCAGTATACACAGGGGAAAGGTACAAGCAAACTTGGAGATTTGAACCAGAATCCTTCTTGCTGTGAGGCAACAGTACTAACCACCAAATCATGCAGTCAACCATATAAGTACATCTAGGAATTTATTATATAAACCTGGAGGTTATTTTGGCTTTTAGAGAACCTTTAGAAAATAATCCCTACAAATTATAGACTTTCCCAATAGTGTGACATTGCGCGTTTCCTAAACCGCCCCGTTAATTGCTCTTTTCTGGATCAACCTTTTTAATACAAATAAATAAATAATCCTCAAAATTAGCTGTGTGTCATTGTCTTGGCATCTCTGGAGCTCAGCCCCAGCAATCTTTTTTTGGTTCTTCTTTACCTCCCTCACCAAGGCACTTCTCCCTTGATTGCTCGATTAGCACAGCTGGACTCCAATGAAGCAGTAGAACCATCTCAATGAGGATCAGAAAAAATTGGACAGCATGCAAATTAAATATGAGTGTTACAGCTAAGGGTCTGAATACTTAAAACCATGGGATATTTCAGTTTTTCTTTTTTAATAAATTTGAAAAATGTTGTACATTGTTGTTTACCCACTGTAAAAAGGTAACTGTTGATTTTCATCCACCTTATTACATGTGACAATTAGTTTTTTGGCTTTTTCACAAATACAGGAATGATCAATTTGGGTGATCTTATAGATGTTAGGGATTCATGAAATTCATTCTAACAACTGAAATTGAACGCTCATTGTTTTCAACTTAAAACTCTGTTAAATGTGTGTAGGGTCCATTAGTGTCCAGCTGTAGGACTTGTCTGTTTCCATATGTCCCGTGCTTCAAAGTCACCTCAGCTTCGCTACCAGCCGAAGCGACGGCAGCCTTCAGTTCCTCCTCACAAAGAGAAACAAAGGCTTGGTAAAGCTGCAGTCCCTCCTCTTTGTTGATGTTGTTGTGGTATTGCATGGCCTTGCCCTTGACTTTTCCACCCAGTGTGGCCTGAGGGACAATCAGCACGCTGCCAGGAAGCTCGGTCACCGAAACCATCTTCCCCGAGGCAGACTCGCAAAGCCGCAGGCTCAACAACGTGGACACTAGATCGGATAGATAGAATAGAAAAAGACATTTATATGAGTTTGTAATGATAAATATGAAGTAATCTTGCAGATCAACAATTTTTTAAAAGATACTGACCCATCTTAGGCAGGATGCTAGCAGTTGCTCCTTTGAAAAAGCAGACGTAGATGACCATTCCTCTGTTGATCTGAGAGTCCAGCAAAGCAACATGCAGTATATTTTACTCTTATAGATATGCATAAGTTAACAACATTAAAAAAGAGTTGGTAAACTTTTGGAAATTTCCTGGTATGACCAAGTGAAGAGGCGGTTTAAATCTCTTTTCCCTTTGTTCATTTGCAGTTTCTAAAAGATAACATTTCTATAATATCGATAAAATAAAGTGTAAATAGAGTAGCAGAAAGAATAAATATAACTGTAATATAACTGTCTGATAAAGAGCATGTCAGGTGTCGGAGGAACCTTCTCTCATAAATAGGTGTGTAAATTTAACAAATGAACCCAAGTAACTTATGTAAGGTTCTTTCATTCCTTACCTTATACTCCCTTCTCCCTTTACTAGTACCATAACAGAGTTAAGTAAACAGTAAGTAGTATTTACCTGGACGAACTGAGCCTCTGAGTGTTCATCAGCTGGTTTGACTTGTAGCCTAGCCTGCAGACACTGCTGCAGCATTATTCGAGCCATCGCAGAGCAACTTTTCTCCGTCATCACACTTGAGATTATGTGTAAATGCAAAGCACAGCAGTCGAAAATACCATCAAAGAGATAAACCCTACTTAATAACGAATAATGGCACTACAACTTGGCGATTCTGAGGACAACTTGGGTACCTGCCTACCGTGTAGCGTTATCCTGCGGTTCAAAACTGCGCACAATGTTGCGCATTATGGTGGGTTTTTTTTTTCTTTCTGTCAGATACACAGCTGAGCTCTTTGCCACCCCCTCATGTAAAAGAAATAGCCACTGCTACATTAGGCTTTAGTACTGTATATTTTGTTTTCAAGAAACCAACAATTTAGCAGTTTTAATAGAGAAGTTAAATCACTATTTCCATTTTAATCTCCCATTTAATCCAGAGATTTTGCAGTATTGCATGTAAAACTTTTTTTTACTATTTTAATTTTTTTTACAGTTTTCATTGCTGCAACACCTTCCTTTGTATCCTAACTAGAACCAATTCGCCAATTCAATTACTGATCTGCAATGTTCTTGTCTTAATCTTAGGCACATTATCTCAGTCCTGACTAAATGAAAAAATGTAAAGAAATGCATGTAAAAATCGATTGTCTGTTGCAATTTTTAACATGTAAAATCATTTATTATTTACCGAATATTTATTTTACGAACGTTAAAGTTGTTTAAATTTAAATCCAGTGGAAATAGTTTTTTTCCAACACGTGATCATGCTCACTTTGCGCAAATCTGACACAACAAGCGCTCGCTACCGGGAGCATTCAGCGGTGAACCTAAACAACAAAACATGGCTCTCTTTACCTACAGTAGACTTTGCCAATTACTAAGACTACCGCCTCGTAAAACTTTATTTTCGTACACTGGAACCGAGATTAAAAATGGATTGGTGTGCTGTATGCTGCTGAAACGATGCCAGGTAACACATTTGTCTACCAAGCGTCAGATTAGAATGAAAGCTAGCTAAAAGCTGATTGTGTTAGCGTCACATTTAGCGGAAGTACTGAATATACAAAATAAAATAAATGTACTGTATATAATCATTGAAAATGGGAATGAATCAATTCTAAATTATTGTATGTAGCAAAAAAACAGATTATTAATATCTCTAAAATACGAAGTGGGTTTGCTCAGTTACTTTCTCCACTGTTTACGTGCATTTCTCTAAATGTCAAGATCTTTACCGGAGGTTTGCCTTGTAACTGACTGTTTTTTCGTCAGCATATGGTGCATGAAATGCTTTGGCATAGTTATAATTACTCTTACTCAGTGTGAAATTGTAATTTATTCCAGTTTACTTGCACAATCTTTAGCTCAACAAAAAACTATTGCTAAAAATGTAACTAAAGGCATAACATATCCAGGCAAACATACAAAATAAATGAGCAGTGACCTTTATTGTGAAAGAAACTGCTTACATCTTCCCATTGAAAGTTAAGTTTTGGCCTGAAAAATGGAGGAGGATAGAAAAATCATATTGACATTGCCTCTCTTGGCACGTTTCTAGCTCGATTTAATATAATTAAACAAAAAAAAAAAAAATACCTGTGCATTCCTAAATCCCTCCTGGCGCAAATTTTTGAAGATGTTGCTGATTTTGATAGGAAAAATCACAGTTGGTTTCACTTTCTGCCTCAAAAGATACATCAATGTCTGAGATTGATAAAAATAGATTAAGGGGTGGCCTTTCTAGGGTTAGATTAAACATGGGAAGGACAACTTCATTACCCAGAGTGCCCTGCTCTACACTCAGATTATGGAATGTCTTTTGGCATTTTTCCATTAGTGCTGCTCAGCCCTACATGGTATGGGCCAGTACGGTTCTTTACAGTTTAGGTGGTTTCCACTGCATCCTGGCCAATCAGCGCCGTGCAGTCTAACCTGCAGCTGAGTAGGGGCCAAAGTTGTAACTGTTTAGTGGAAATGCAAAAGTACTGTGTAATATCACGCTGAGTAGGTACTATTTTTTTGTTTCTTCCAAATGGGTCTGCTTTCCTTTCTCGAATACATCACCTTCAGCGTTGAGTGAGCGCATGCACTCTCACACACTAATAATCTGCAACTTTTTTTTGCAATTGGACCACTTAAAGTCATTCCAATGTAATTAGGTGATACTCGCATGCTCACATAATTTCTGTGGAGTTAGACAACACAAATGTTTGTATTGATAATCTTATTTGAGGATTCCTAGGTTTCGAATTCATCTTGCAGCCCTTTGAACCTGAACTTAGCTACAGTTTGAGCCTTTTCAGCATCTTCAGCATTTTGTGCTGTGGTCATTCAGCGGATTAACTTTGGGTTTTGGTAATTCTTTTGACCTTTTTTATCTTATTGCCTTTAAATGATAACTCAGGTTTCCATTTTTCTCTTAGGCATGTAAACATACCAATTAAATTGTTATATACAGTGAGGAAAATAAGTATTTGAACACCCTGCTATTTTGCAAGTTCTCCCACTTAGAAATCATGGAGGGGTCTGAAACTGTCATCTTAACACAGCCGGGTGTTCAAATACGTATTTTCCTCACCGTATGTTACAATTTAGTCTTTTACAATAAAAATAATCATAAACATTTTGCTCATTGTTTTCTGCTTCAGATTTATTACTGATTCTTATTCCCCGATAACAATACAGATCAGCAATTTTTAAGCTGCAACAGCTCTCTATAGTGTAAATTGTACTTTAAAATGTACCCCATTGTTTATTCTCCTGTACCCTTGTTATGATTGAAGCATCTAAGTGCATGAATTGAAATGTGAGTAAAACATTCTGAGCTTTATATTGATTTATTAGGCTATAAGGTAATGAGTTATTTTCAATATTCCCATTTTAAGTAAAAAAAATAAGTTAATGACTGGGGGGAAATAACACTTTTTTCATCTTAACATAGTAATTTAATCCTTTATACTCATCCATTGTTTTCTTTGTTGTTATTGGGGCACAGAGGTCGGTGGACAGTAAAGCATTGCAGGAAAGGCAGAAGCAGCAGATGGCCAGAGGTCTTCCCAAGCAAAAGCCCATCACAGGCATCAAAGAAGTCATTGTTGTGGCTTCAGGAAAAGGAGGCGTTGGCAAGTCCACCACGGCAGGTGTTGTATGAATGTCTTGCTGAGATGCTGCAACAAATAAGATTGGTCACTTTTAAGTTGTCAATATTTAGTATCTGCTTATCTCGTCTCTGCAGTGAATTTGGCGCTTGGATTAATGGCTATTGACCCGGTAAGGAGTTTTCCTTTGCTTCCCAAATTAGTTTCCATTCCTTTGAAATGTTTAGTAGATTTAGCATTATACCTAGACAACCACAAGGTTTTGTTTCCAAACTCAGTTTATGCCTGTCTGGGTAAAGTTTGCAAGATCGGCTTCTTTTTTAAGTACTCCAACTTTCACCCACAACCTGAAAACATGCTTGTTAGGTTAATTGGTGATTTCAAATTGACTGTTGTAAATTTGAGTTATCCGTTTGTCTATGTGGTCCTGATATTAACTGGCAACCATAGGTTATTGCTATAACCTGCGTCTCACCCAATGGCTTCTGGGAAAGGCTTCAGGTCCCAGTCTTGGATTAAGTGGGCGTATGAAATTGATTAATTAATAAGCGACAAGACAAAGACCTTTTTGTCATCCTATTAGATGTGCTTTCAAGCTGGAATCACATATTATAAACTTTTGATATAATCAATTTTTACTTCTGAAACTCTCCAGATTTTCAATTGTTGCCTCTCTGTCTGATGTAGAAAAGTGGGAGATTCCTGCGTGCCGATAACTTCATGTCTGAACTGACAGAATCTTCCCTCTCTCTCAGTCAATGTCAGTCGGTCTGTTGGATGCTGACGTCTATGGTCCCTCGATTCCCAAATTAATGAACCTTAAAGGAAACCCCGAGCTCAATGAGAGTACGCAGACTTTAGCTCATAGAAGCTTTTTTATTATCGTTAGTTTGTTTTATTCCGCAACTATAATTTCACTGTCTTATATTGCATTTTCTTCAGATAATCAGATGATCCCTCTCACCAATTATGGGATGCCATGGTAAGTCAATCCACAAAGTGGGGTCATGTTTCTTTCTGCAAATTGAATATAGCCTCCAGATTATATTTGACCTGTCCTTACTGATTCTATTTTGTTAGTATGTCAATGGGCTTTCTGGTGGATGAAACGGCTCCAATAGTATGGAGGGGTCTGATGGTGATGTCTGCAATAGAACGACTGCTCAGACAGGTGAAAGATGTACATTCCCAGCTCAGAGCAAACAATGAAGTTAAAGTTAATCTTATTAATGACCGAAAAAGGTCTTTTTATAGGTGGACTGGGGCTCCTTGGACTATCTAGTGGTAGACATGCCTCCTGGGACAGGAGATGTCCAGCTCTCAATCACACAGAACATCCCCATAGCAGGTCATTCTTCCACAACCTAAACAATTAGGGGTCTTGTTAAAAAAAGGCCACATTTTATCTGAATGTATTTACCTTATGCAAGTTACCCATACTACCCAATACAAATAGTTCGGAAATACTTGGAGTAAAGAATAAGTCGCGGTATATATTTTGCCGCACAGGTGCAGTTATCGTGTCAACACCGCAGGATATCGCTCTGCTGGACGCTCGCAGAGGGGCCGAGATGTTCAAGAAAGTTAACGTACCGGTAATTTTTCTGTGTGTCAGTGCTTAACAGACTGGACGAAGAGGCCGTTTGATTTGTCCCCAAATTGTATTGAGGAGGATTCAGGAACTGAAAGAACTGATGGTATCGTCCCTGTAGGTTCTGGGTCTGGTGCAGAACATGAGCGTCTTCCACTGTCCCAACTGCAACCATCAGACCCACATCTTTGGCTCTGACGGGGCCCGGGCACTCGCTGACACTCTGGGCGTGAAGTTACTCGGTATGTTCTGCAGTGTGATGTCACGATACTACCACTATTCTCTTTTTTAATGGAATCTATATCATTTCCTGGATTGTATAGGATAATTTCACGAGAAAATACAAGTGGAAAAACGTTGAAGTTTGTCATTTTTGTAAATAACAAATCAATCGGTTTCCTTCTCGTCTCCTCCAGGTGACATCCCACTTCATCTAAACATCAGAGAAATGTCGGACAGAGGACAGCCTGTGGTCGTCTCTTCTCCTGACAGCGCAGAGGTTTTTTTACTATTCTAATCTCTTCTGTATTAATTCACTCAATTAAACCTGAAATATCCAGTCCTATTACCAATCTTGGTCTATTCAAGTAAATATGTTATTTGTTTAATTCAAATCTGTTCTCTTACTAACTCTAAGTGTAAGATTAGGTACTGTATATTTTGAATATTATATTTAGTTTTCTGTGTTGATAAAAAATCGGGCTATTGTAATGTTTTAGAATAATGCTACAGTGAAGTCAGGTCAGAGGTATGAAATGATTAAACTATACAAATAATAGAATAATAAACTTTGTGTTGATAGTTGGTAAATAGTGTGTAAATGCCTTGATTTTTTTTTCTATTTTTGGGCAATAATTATTTCTTGCTTGTCTCATCTTTCTATTCCTGTGCTTTTTTTTTTTTTTTTTCAGGCAGAGGCTTACAAGGCAGTGGCATCTGCTGTTCTTCAAAGGCTATTGGAATTAAATTCTTGATTTCAGGGTTCCAACAGGAAATTGTTTGGTGGACAAAGAAATACAATTATTTGCATGTAATATATAGAAATGTATATGTACATTAAAAACCATTCACTGTAGTAACACACAGTGAGTTAAATTCAGCCAATGCTGTTAAAATTTACACTGTCCATACTGTGTTGCTGGAGAAATGTAACATTAAATAAAGTAGTGACCTGAATAATGTGTACCTTTATTTTTTTTAAATGTACAACTTAAATGTGCTGATTTAAAAAAAACAAAAAAACAACAACTTTCAATTATAACAGGGGGCCTGAATTTTTGTCATATTGTAGAGTAGACTTTTGTGCCATTTTTTCATATTCAGGGTGTAATCTTCATTGAAATTACCTGTTTGTTGATGTTTGGAAGCTGTATGCTTGTCATATAAGGACTTCCTGTTTCATGGAGAGTTGAACATACGCATATTGTTTGGAATGCGACAATCATTCAATTCTGTGAATTCTGTGTAATGTTCTTATCAAATGTATCTAATTATAATTACATAGAAATTCACCACTCCATTATGGACACCCTTTAGCAAAATGCTATGTTTTCAGGGAAGCTTAATCAACTTATCTGTTTTCTGAGGACATTTTATCTGGGCTGGGTGAAGAAAATCAATAATTCCATGAATGAAGCATGTGACGTCCCGTTGCCATTTAATGGCAACTGACATGTTAATCAGTTCATGAGCTGAGAGTGATCGTTTGGAATTTGGTGCAGATTGTATGTAAAAAATATTGCTAATAAATGATCTTCCTGTTTCACGGTCAAGCATTAAACTTAAGTTGCTACCACATCCATCCATATTGATTAATACTTAAGGTTTTGATTTAATCAAATATGCCTGGAGATAATATGCACCAGTATCCAGACCGATGATGTAATGTTGAAGATACTACTAATGTGACTTGTGAAATAATGAAACCTGTTTGGTGTAAGATTGAGGTGGAGATAAGAAACAAATTAAATCTGAGTAATTTAACAAATGCTTATTATATTCTTGCAAAAGGGATCAAACAGAATCCCATTGTGTGTTTGTGTGTATATGCATATGTCAGATGGAGGACAACTGGGTCAGCATTTAGGTTCTTTAAGCTCAAGGGATGTAGGATTAACCACCTCCATTATCGTAAAGTTATATATATGTGTTTGTTGAAGAAACGCCAGAGACCTGTCCTGTCACTTAGGAATACACTCACACTAACAAACTTTAGTTAGACATGCATAGTACTATGTACTAAAAACTATGTACATAGAGAAGTGTATGAATACAGTTACAATAGCTCAAACGGTAACTAATTTTTCTTCCATAGGATGTACTTAAAAGACGCTTTTTTTGCTTTTTCAAGCAGTCAGAATACAAAACATAGCCACTATTAAGCATTTTAGCAGTTTAAGCCTTGGGCAGATCCACAAATGAGCAATTAATGCCCTGGAAGAACAATAGTAACAAAGACTTGTATTTCAATAGACCTGTAATAAACACCACAGATACAAAAGGCTTCAACACAGCTCTCAATGCTTGGGTCTAAATATATACCAGTTTTATCCATGCACACTATAGTTGATCTTTATTATAATCAAGTGTGTTCCTGTGATGGTTGCGAGAGTTTTCAGAGCCAATGTACATTACAACTAGTTTCCATGTTTAAAAAATGTACAATGTAAAACTACTTCAGATGTAAATTCAACACAACGCAGTTCAAGAACTATCCAGCAGAGAGTGTTGGTTGCATGTTTAGCACAACATTTTTTGTTTTCACATCATGCATCATATTAAACCTGGGACATTTGTGTGTTTTAGGCAGGTTCTCCATGTTCCTGTGTAGGTTTCCTTCAACATTCCAAATACATGTTAGTTTCTATATAAGCTTTTTTGATTATTTGTATTTTCTTTAATGTGCATCTTAACTTCTGTTATATATTTAAAATAGTAATTCTGTGTGACAGAACAAATACACAAAAAGCATATTGTGTGTTTGTTCTGTCACACGTCTCTTTTGTCAATAAAAACAAAATTAAGTGCTGTTTTAAGTCAAAAGCAATATACCCTTGTTTACCCTGTAAAAAAAAAAGATTCCGAAAAATTAAGCTCAGGGGACCAGCACAATGTAATTAGATCAAAAGAATAACCAGACGATTGACTTATCAAAGTCACAAATTGTAACTTATTTTCTTCAGTAACATTATTTCCAATGTTTCCAACCTATACCTCACATATCATTGTTTAGATTTGGAGAGAAAAAAAATCTGGATGCAGAAATACATGTTGGTTAAGAAAATAATCATTTGACAAAAGCTAAATATTTCCAGAGAAACATGGTTTGAGGACCTGAATTAACCCCAGCAGATCTGATTTAAAGTAAATGAAATGACCAAACTGAGACTTTTGATTATAAAATACCATTATTTTACTCATTCTTTGACAAAAACTGTAGACCGTAGTTAAGAAATTATGTCATCGCAACAACTTTTTTTTACCAAGCCCACGTGTGAAAATTGAATGAATAACATTAGGTTCATTCTATGTTTTACAGTACCTGAGACTCCACCAGTCTGAATTAACTCTTATTTTCATGAACATGTCTGACTATGAAATAGCTTGACTCTTGGAAATGTTGTATGCTCAGCATTTGTATACACATCCAGGACTGTAATGCTGACCTATTATCAAAAGGTCAATTTTATGAATCCCTGAGTCTGACTTGATCCCCCTATCTTATTCAACCTTGCATCAGGATAACTATTATTTTTTCAGCTCAAGGAAGTAAGCAGATAAGCTGAGAAAAAATTGTGGGAGATTTTCACGCATTTTCAGCCTACCTATGAAAATTGATTTTTTTAAATGTCCAAGTTATTTTTACAAATACAGTGAGCAGCAATGAATAAACTATGTAATAAAAGAAAGAAAAATGATTTAACAATTTGACTTGTTGGATTTTCTCCTATGTGTGGATTGTCACTACTTAGTTAAGTCATGCATTAAACATCAGAGAGAGAAAATTAATAATTCATCTAGATTCTGTTAATTAGACAGAAAAATCAATCTAAACTTTAAACAGAAATTAGTCATATTTGGGCTTTAGGGAGCTATTCTTATGAGATTAAAGTAAGAAATTTGTTTGCTTGTTCAGGTCGACTTCCAACAAGTGGAAGAAATATGAAAGACTGGAGGTGAGGATGCAAGCTTTATGTCAACTCCATAATCATAGCCTGGTATAGATAACAGTGAGAGGCTGAGTTAATCTATGTAGGGTTTTTTTTGTGTGTGTAATATTTTAATAGTTTATCATTGACAAACATAGTAGATAATTACATATTCATGCCAGCAAACACTGATTAGATTTTTTGTCCAACATTTTACTTTGAATAACTAGTGATTTAAAACCCAAGAAGAATCAAACAGTATCATGATTAAACAAATGAATAAGCAGAAAATACTGTACAGTATTAGTTAGTCATGATCAACCAATACAGACTGATATAGACTATTTTTCTTTTGTTTTAGGAATATAATATAATATAGGTTATCAGCATATTCATGAAATAGCCATGGATTTCAGCTTTAATGTTTGTTCATATGTGTCCATATACGGTACCTGTATTACAAATAAGTTACAAATCTACTTCTCCATTTTTTTCTTTTTGTCTGTATGGAACATTTGCATCTCTTTTGGTGTCCAGTTCAGTCAGCAGAGAAACAAAAACTCCTTGTTGTCATGAAGACAACATTTTGCGTTCTCAAATTAGAGAACATGTGGAGTAAAATGAGTGAGAGTCAACTTTTCCCATAAACAGTGTTGTTTTTCATACTGGACTGAGTTTGGAGGGGCATGACAACAATAACACAAAAATGTTTGGAAGGAAAATAGGAGGACTTCTACATTGAAACCATAGATTTTAGAACTGTCAAAACAGTCCTTGGCAGGACACATATATACACATACAAAAACAAATAAAAAAGAAAATTATCTGGTGAACATAACAAGTAAAAGTTTTCATCTACAAAAACTATCAGATTGTATAGATCTGAGAGTTAGACATCTGGTTTTCAAATAAGAAAAGAATATCCGAATTGTCAAAAAAAAGTTAGAAAGTGATACATTAGCACAAAAGTACAAACGAAATCGAGCAATGGAAGTGCAGTGTAAGGGTAATCTTTTTTGGGAAATATCTTCCAAACTTAAAAATCTTATAAAACTTTGTCGGTAACTGTTTTATAAATGAGTCGCAGAAATGTAAGTTCCATTCTGAGCCCAGGAAGAGTGGCCAAAATTGGAGAAATATGATCCTGTTTGTACTCATCTGAATGATTTTTTATTAGGTGGAATGCTGACAATAGTTGATGCAGCATATGAAGAATTACAGTAGTCTAATATCAATATAACACAATCAGGTATGTACAAAATATGAAAGAAAGTCCTAGTAATCTGTTTGTGTGGGTCAAAGGATGCAAATAACTCCAAGATTCCACATTAAAATGCTATTTCATGTGATTAATTGGCATTCATTGGTTTGATTTAATTTAGAGGAAAGTGTCACCATTAAAATGGAAATTTAGTCTAGATCATTAGCAGATTTCATCACCTAAATGCTCTGAATCAATACTGAAACTGTTCTAAATTATTTCTGTCTAAATGAATAACAAATAATTACAAGGAAAAAAAACATGAATATATGCAAATATATACAAACATGCAAAAAAAATATATATCCAAAAGGTTTTTGTGATATAAAATAAGAAAAAAACAAATGACTGAATTCTTTCACTATATACTTTGAAGTTTCAACATTGCAGTCTCAGTTTCTATAAACAATATGGCCAGTTTTAACCAAGAACATGTTTTGCTCCACTTTTAGTAATCACAAATTACCCTTGTTAGTAAGAATTGCACTGCAGAAATCACTATGCGCAAAGACTGATGGTAGATACTTGTGTAGTAATGACAAGGTTGTTGGATCAATCCCATACTCATTCAGTTCTCATACTGACAAGGAGCACAACAATCACCCTACAATTTACCCAGAAAATTGTTGTCTTAGTCATACACTTCACCTGCCAGCAATTTACTTTTTTCTGACTGCCTTTCCTGAGGCACATTCTGTTGGAGACTTTGATTAAAAGACTTCCTCACTGTTGCGAAACGCTACTCCGGGGGTATATCTATGTAAAAATTTAAGCGCCAAGTGATACTTTATAGTGTTTTCCGATCTATGTCCATTCAAATGACTCTACTCAGATATAGCACACCATTCAAAACACATTGATGGTTAAAG